GTCCCCGACCTCGTCTCTTGGATTACCCCATCTGCTCTGTTGCTTCTCTGATCCTCTGGCTCCGATCCTGCTCCGTCCCCGACTTCGCTTCTTGGATTTACCATCTGCTCCGTTGCGTCTCTGATCCTCTGGCTCCGATCCTGCTCCGTCCCAGACTTCGCTTCTTGGATTTCCCCTACAGACTATTCTCACTTCAGACCTCCTGGTACGACCTCCTGCCTCCTGACCTAGCCTCTGCCTCTCTCCTTTTAATAAACATCGTTAAACTGTCATTCTGTGTTGGGTGTTTTTACGGATCCGCCAGTCAGCTCATGACACATGCAGTGTTTTTTGTTGATATTGTTTCATGCTTCCCGCCACTCTGGTGTCAGGTTTGAGGAAATCCAATCTGGTCCTGACATGGCGCAGAAATAAATCTGCAGGAGGGTTAGGAGCTCTGCTTCAGTTTTAAAATCATGGAACATTTCTCCAAATGAAATAACCAGAAGTCAGCAAGACTCGGTCAGATTGGTTTCCACTTTCCAGGACTGGAAGTGCTCGACACTGTGCTCTTGTTGTGCGCCGAGCTCCTCGTCAGCACGCTGTCCGTGGAGAATACACAAGTGTGAGACGACGCTCCGATGCCGATGGGAATCTTTCCTTGATTAGTTATATTACCGCTGACATTTAAAATATCACTAACAAACTTACTCAAACAAACAAATCACTCTTTCTAAAAACAACTCTTGCAAGGCTCGGGCAATTGTTGACTTGGGCATCGTTTGAATTTGAACCATTCCGGTTCAGATTCCAGTTCCTCGTTTTGATTCCGGTTCCTATCGATTCCCGATTCTGATTGTTTGTAGAGGCAGGATCCAGGTCCAGGTGTCTGTGGCCTGATTGTGTATGTGCGGTGATTTGAGGCAACAAAAAGAAAAAAAAACTCCAGTTACCCTGGACGGACAAGAAGGGGCGGTTACACTTGTTAATCTTTCAATGTAATAATAATATTCATTTCAACTTCAGTAATTTAAGCACAGATTAATCAAAGCATTTCATTAGTATTCATATAACATTTGTTCATCCAATCATATCATTTAATGATTATTTAACTTATGAGTTGTAAAAGTTCTTCTTTATACAGTTTATGTACTGAAACATACAAAACATTCATAAAAACTCAAACTAGCACTAAGAAAAGTGGATATTTAAGTAACAGAGTTCTACAGGTGACCCAGGCTCCTGCGTTCTGTGGGACAGTCCTGGATCTACATGACTCTTCTCAGCTCCTGCTGATTGACACGCCATCCAGCATTTTAACTGTCTCCCATTTCATCTTTCAAGCTTGTATAAACTGATTGAGGCAATCAATCAAGCTAGGAGGCGGGACTTTGACGCAGGTCCAGAGCGCGCGCTGCTCACGAACCTCCAAACCAAAAGGAAACGACAGAGTGATCCTGGACCAATGGGAGACGAGCGCGGTGGAGAAACGCTGTGACAACAGAGACTGAAGGGTTAAAGCTGCTCAGGTTCCTCAGTAAGCAGATGGCTGGTGCTGAAGAAACCCAATAATGAGGTTCTAAACCCTTTAGAACAACATGAAAGAACAGCTGAAATAATCTTGATTATTCATTCTGAGACTTCTGAGAGAAAAATTCTGAACATTAAGTTTAAATGTAACTTTTGTCAGAGATCAAAGTCACTGATTATTGTTTTCTCTGCCCTAAATATCTGCTGTGGGAGATAAAAACCACCATTTTGTTTTTGTTAGTTTTTAAAATCAAGAAGAAAAAAAAGAAAAATTATCAAAAAGTTTTGATTTCTGGGTTGTTGATGTTATAACATTTAGTGAAAATACGTATAATTGATCTAAAGATATTACTGGTACTTTTAGTGTCATTTTACTCTGTTGTTCACGTCTGTGTGTGTGTGTGTGTGTGTGTGTGTGTGTGTGTGTGTGTGCGCGCGCGAGTGTCTGGGTGATTGTATGTCCACCTTGGAAATTGGGTGCGGGAGGGGAACCGTAATTGTCAATAGTTTTATACTTGGGGAGGGGGGCTGGGATGGGAATATGGGATCTATGGGGCCATTTTAATCTGTGAAGCACTTTGAGTTGCTTTTTTTTTTGTATGAAAAGTGCTATATAAATAAAGTTGATTTGATTTGATTTTGTTGTGGAAATTCAGACAAAGTTAAACAATTGGCTTCAATTTCAAGTTTCCAAATATTAAAGGGCAATTCCAACCATTGAGCATCTTTAATCTGCTCATATTTAAAACTACAACATCCGGACCAATGGTTCCCACCTGGGGTTCGTGATCCACCAAGGGGTCTGTGGAGGTTCCTCCAGCCATTTCTCAGTGTTAGTATTATTTACATATTTTTTTCCCACACGCTGGTTTATTATTTCATTTTGTTGCAATCTTGTAAGATGTTTACTAATGGGTGCACACATTTAGTAATTTATCGTATACATAGTTTATTTGATCATTAACTATTCTCATTTGAGAGAGGACACTCCCAGTGTAACTCCAGGCAGGAAATGGAACGTTCCATCTGGCTCCTGGAAGCAGGGGACTTGATCATGAAGAAACCAGACGTTCTGAAGCTCTAATTGAGTTTACCAGATTTTGTTAGGAGGTATTAGTTAAACTTTTTGTGGTAGTTATACTTTGTTGACTTAGTCTCCTAGGTTTATTTACTGTTTGTCTTAGTGTTTCCTCTGTCTATCCCCTCCTCGATGTCTGTAGGCTAGCCTTTGTGTATAAATTCCCCTGTGTGTCTTGTTTGCTACTTTTAGTTAAGGTTATTTCCGTGGCCATTTTTTCCTTTGGGGCCATTTTTGTTTTGATTTTGGTTAATTATTTATGGAAATAAATTGAGAAGATATTCTTTTTATACCATGGTCCTGGAGTTTTACTACTCGGTCCCTGACAGGGTCCCCGCCAAATTAGTGGGAATTCAGCACATACAAGCACCTTGTAGTCTTTATCGTGAAAGGCGCTATACAAAAGGTCATTTCTTCCTCTTCTACATGCTGAGAGGGTGAGGTTACCACACAGCCAAGGGATCCTCCAGGACAGAAGGTTGGGACCCACTGACCTAGGCTCTCTAAACCTGGACCAGTGTTAGCAGAACCTGGTAAACATATATGTTGTGATGTTAAAAGCTGTGATACGATCAGTGAAAAGAGGGATTTTTGTTTTCTTTCATAAATTTGAGAATGAAATTGTGTTAAAATGTAGAAATGTATCTCGCCTGACCGGCAGATCTCCGGGTGCTCAGCACCCCTAAACCTCTGATGCTAGAACCGCTCCTGTCACGATCGCTTCCCACTGTCATGGTCTGCTTCTGCGTCTCCCCTCGTGTGTCTCCTTGTGTTCTCCATCCCTCTCTAGGTTCTCCTTTTGTGTCTCTAGCGCCCTCATGTGTCCTTGTTCTGCGTCTTCCTCATGTGTCTCCTGGTGTTCCCCATTTGACCCCAGATCTTCAGCCCTCTAGGTTTCCCTCTTCAGGCATCCCCCTCCCAGGTCCTGTGCTCCCTTGGCCCCCTTTTAGTCACGCCCCTGTAGTTTTTCTTTCTGTAGTGTTTTCCTCTAGTTTCAGCTTCCCCCTTAGAATATTAGTTATGTTTGCTGCCCTTCAGGTCTTTAGGGTTTTCCCTTAGGTCATTTTCCTTAGTTTCAGCTGTTCATGTTATTAGTCTCTAGTGGTTTTTTTCCCATTGGTGTTTGTTTTTTTTTTCCCCTCCTTAGATTATTAGTTATGTTCCTGCTCTTCTTGTCTTTAGTTTTTATTCTTAGGTCAGGTCATGATTGTTTCCTCCCTAATTAGTAACTCAGTTCACCTGGTCTCTCTCCCCACACACCTGCAGGTCATCTCCCTCTCATCCTCCCCAGTGTATAAAGCCCTGTCTGTGTCTCAGCATCTTGTCGGTCCATTGTTTGGTGTCAGCGTTGTTTCGTGCCTCATCTCTAGGTTTTGTGCTCTACGTGAGCTTTCGTTCTCCTGGTGTTCAGGACTTTGGTTTTTGGCTTCCTACCCTTTTGGATGTTTTGGTTCCTCATCCTAATAAAAAGTATTTTACTTCTAAACCGCTCCTGCCTCGAGTCATCTGGTGTTTGCTGCATCTTGGGTCCTAACCTCCTCCTAACTCGCAACGTGACACCCACTTTTCATTACCCTACCATTAGGTTCACATGTATCTCCTTTGCGGGCTTTTAAATTAAGTTTAATATTTGTGAGTGATATTTTTTAGGACTTCGGGGGCTGCCGGAGTGTCTGTGTTCTGCTTACGGACCTTGCTGGAGGTGGACAGATGTAGGGTGCAGGCTCTGATGAGTTTTCCGTGTGCAGTTGGGGTTTAGACATCCTTCTGTTGAGTGGTATTACAGTTGTGGCAGCAGTACGTCTCTTGGGCGTCTAGCCTGCCTAACCAAAGAAGATGCAGAGGCACACAGGAAAGATATTTCCCAAGATCTTCATAATCTTATTGAAAAGCATTCTGATGGGAATGGTTATGGGTGCATTTCCAGAATGCTGAATGTTCCTGTGAGCATGTTAAATGGAATCACGATCAGGTGTTCCATGTAAGGTTCCTGTCTGAGGAGTCCGAGAATAATCATGAGTTAATGGGGATTACGGTCAGATAAAAGGCGTCATTCTGCATGTTAGAAGAAATGGCACCGCACGAGAACAGCTACGTCTTGGGTTGGAAGCATCATGGTGTGGGGCTGTTTGTGTGGAAAAATTGGCCAGAATCTCTCCTGAGCGGCGCTGTGCGACTGGTCTCTGCATACAAGAGGTGCCTAGGAGCTGTAATCACCAACTAAAGCTTTTCTACAACGTAGTAAAGTGCGTCGGATTACTGACATAAACGTTTGCACCATATTCTCATTTATCCAGTTTTACCTGTTGGACAACAGTAACTAGCGGTTAGCTCATCAGTCCTCAGCACCTGAAGTCTTTGGTCCAACACATACCCACACCTCCTCTTTTAGAAGTAAAAACACCACAAGCACTTCACACCAAACTGTTTATTATCAGCACATCTGAAGATGTTCCACAGCAAAATAAAACAAGCCGCGCATTGTTTCTATTTCTCTCTCTCACACACACACACACACACACACACACACACACACACACACACACACACACACACACACACACACACACACACACACACACACACACACACACACACACACACACACACACACACACACACACACACACACACACACACACACACACGCGTCTATAAAATGTACAAAGTCGTGTTTATATAAATATTCCTGTTGCAGCGGTTGGTTCTGGACCTGCTGCTCTCGTCTCGGCTGCTCCTCAGCAGAACCTCCATCAGCGGGGACCCAACAGACCTAGTGACACTGAGGCTACACCGAGTCTGACCACACTACCAGGAGGCGCTGCACACAGCTCAGGGCCCGCCTCTGTTCTCTGAACAGGAACCATCTAGAACTCCTGCTTGAATCTTGTTCGATGAGAAGTCGGGTTTACCCTCCGGCCCACATGGTGGCGCTGCACCACCTTGTTTACACTGGAGTGACAGGTTCAGCACCTTTCAAACAGATGTTGGTGGTGTTCAGCATCACCACGGCAATGCTCGGTGCTCTTCGGGTTAGGTGCTGATGCTTGCCTCAGGTGGAATATGGAGGTTTAGGTCTGGGCCTCAGGTAAAGACTGGCCCGGCTCACAACGCACAGGTGAGCCTGAAACCATGAGTCCATTGGTGCTGTGACTCAGGAGTCTTTTGGCTGCTGACGAGGAGATACTGCCCGCCGTTATGGTACTGTTCAGGTTCCGGTATGACCGTTGCCGCGGTAAAGAAGCCCTGCGCTGGGAGGCGGGAATAGCAGCAGAGCCACGGAGGCACACTGAGGGGAATCTCAACCCCACCAGACAACAGCCAGGACAGGAAATGACCTCATCCTGTTCAGAGGAAGTAGGGGGGTCAGAGAATGGGAGCTGGACTCCGGTGAAGCCGTTAGAGCTCCGCCCTCCGCCCAGTTGCACCTGCTGGCCAATCACAAGGGCTGAGCTGTTGTTATTGTCCAACCGTGGCAGCGGCGGGAAAGAGGGAGGTCCGTTTGAGATGGGAAACCTCCAACTCTTCATACGTAGGGAGGAGCAAGAGGTGGAGGTGGCCAGTGGTTTTAGAGGTGTGGAGTTCAGGGTTCTCTTTGTGGGTTCTGGAGACTTGGTACAGTCCATGGGTTCAGTAAGACACAAACTCTCCTCCCACTCCGCCTCCTCATCCAGCCGGCCTAGAGACACCATCTCCAGCTCTAAAGGAATGCTTGAATCCTCCTCCTCCTCCTCCTCATTCTTCAGGGAAGCTGCTTGTTCTGTAACATTTGGATGCTGTTCAAGGAATGTTTCCTCCCCCCTCTCTGACACCCACGAGGTCCCCATGCCCCTCTCATCCTTCCTATTTGATATGTGGACATTCTCATCGGAACTCTGCTCCTTCCCAACTCTTGGAAATGCTGCAGTCCGGCCGATCTCTGGGGTGCAGGGGAGTGACTGGCATCTCCGTGGTGGAGCTCGAATACTCGGGGTTCCCCTGAGCAGGTGGGGGGAGACGCAGGGATCACGGAGTGCAGGCAAGGTGAAGGTCAGGGAGATGACAGACTTGCTGGGAGTGTCCAGGAGCTTGCACCGTCCTCCATTCAGGTCCTGTCTGAGGGAAAAAGGGTTGACCCGCGGAGGAGGTGTCCCGAGGAGCGGGGAAGTCAGAGACGCAGGAGGCAACATGTCTGACTGGCTCCTTGCCAGGCCTCCACAGGGAGAGCTGCGGCGCCGATATGGGCTCACGTCCACCGCCACCGGTTCTGAGTGACAGGAGAGGAGAGACGCACAAATCAGACTTCACACGGAGCGCCGGCGCTAATAAAATCAAGTTCAGGAAAGATCTGGAAAGTAAAGGTCACCAAAACATACAGAGGTAGCACCTTAAAGCAGAAATCCGGAGGGTTTTTTTCTGATGGCGCCGTCTAGAGGCCGAAAAATGCATTGCGCTACAAGGCAAGGCAGCTTTATTTATAGAGCACATTTCAAACACAGGGGCGCTTCAATGTGCTTCACAGTCAGCATTAAACGGCACGACAACAAACAGGAGAACACGAATGAAAAATATACTCAGAAAAAATTATAATTTAGAGCTAAAAGGAGAAGACAGAATTACATCACAGATTACAGCGGAGACGACGCATGGTAAGAAACGATTCATGTAAAGGCTGATGACGAGTACATGAGGGTTTTAGTTTTAAACACTAGGGCTGGGGCAGGTCTGAGGTCATGGAGAAGCTGATTCCATATGTGAGCAGCATAGTAGCTAAATGCATCTCCACCATGTTTGGTTCTGACCCGAGGTTCTACCAGCTGATTGTTTCCAGGGATCTCAGTTCCCTATTGGGTGTTTATATACAGGAATGAGATCGGACGTGTATTTTGGTCCCGTGCCATTGAGTGATTTATAAACTAGTAGCAGCACTTTGTAGTGTATTCTGTAGTTTACTGGTAACCAGTGTAGGGATCTAAGAACAGGAGTGATGTGCTCCGTCCTCTTAGTTCTCGGTAAGACTCTAGCAGCAGCATTCTGAACAAGCTGCAGCTGCTTCACAGCTTTTATGGGAAGACCAGTTAGGAGACCACTGCAGTAGTCCAGCCTGCTGTAGATGAACACATGAATGAGTTTCTCTAAGTCTGGTCTGGACATGAGACCTCTGACTGTTGACGTTTGATGAAGGTGATAAAACGCTGATTTAGTTATAGCCTTCATATGTGCAGAGAAGCTCAGGTCTGAGTCAATAATAACACCAAGATTTCTAACCTGGGTCTTTGTCTTTTGCCTCATTCCCATCTGTACCGGGTCGGCCCTGCCCGGATAGCTCCAGTCGGCCCCAGCCTGGCCCGGTTGATTCCACACATCCTTGCTTATGTATGCAAGGAATGCAGTCAGAGACATTTTCAGCTTCTAGGTAATCAGCACGATAATGAATGATGATGAATTGAGCATGCCTTAAGCCCATGTGGGCTGATTCTACCCACCAATCAGAGGCTTGCTCCATTGGAAGGTGTGAATTTGCTGACTGGTAAGCCGGCTTATCAGTCAGCAGCAGTGTTGCCAGATGTACGATAATTATCGTATTTGTACCATAATTTCGGGCTCTGTACGATGTACGATCAATAGTTTCAAAAATCCTCAAATGTACGATAATTTCACATTGCATCTAGTAACACCGTCTTTTGCTGTGGCTTTCCCAAGTCAATTACATAATTTTAAACTGTTCTGAAGTCAGATTTCACCTCAGTGCTTACAGGTTTATGCTATTGTGTCTATTACAAAAACTGACTCTGGATCTGTACAATCAGTAGCCCAATCACATGATAGGGCCTACTCTCGCGAGAAACTGTAAGGTTATATAACGTGGCAGTGGCCCGCCAGTTTTTGCTGTTTGCCCGCGAGCGCGCCGAGTCAAGTCTAAGCTAGGAGGACAGAGCGACGAGACAATGGCTTCTAATCAGAGAAGGGACGGATGAAGGTAAAGCAAAGCAACACCGGACACAAGATTATCGTCCTGCGTGGGAGTTGGACCCTATTTTCAAAGGATGGCTTGCACCTGTTACGGGGAACGATATCGAGGCTTTCTGTCGTTGCTGCAACACCCAGATGGTATCAGAAATCACCGTTCTCTAGAATCACGCAAAGGGAGCTAAACACAAAGAAAGGGTTAAACGATTGCGCCAAACCAGACATCTATTCTTAAATGTCTCCAGCAAACTAATGAAAAAGAGAAGTTTGAAAATGATGTGAAAAATGCTGAAATCAAGCTATGTGGCTTTTTAGCCGAGCACAACATTGCAATGAGAAGCACAGACCACTTAGTACAGGTGATTAAAGGCATTCTGCTGCGACAGACAGTGAATCAGATGAGGAGATCGAGATCAGCAACTAGGTGAGTAGGCTGCTTTGTCATTGATTGGGTCAGTTTTTCCACTGCTGTGATGTTTTGTCGCGTGCGTTTAACCTATGTAGAAATGAAATAAATAGGACTGCGCAAATGTGCATACTGTGTCAATGCGTGGAGGTCGGTGTGGTGCCGACACACTCTCCACGTTTATAGGCATTATATTACTGGTTTTAAAGATGTTTATTTAAACAGGGCAATATAAAACACCTTCTTTGTTATATTACATTGGAGTGAGAAGTCGTTTATAGAACGTTATTGTCAAATTTATAATGTACGATAATTTGTACTGAAAACGATAATTTAGGCCTCTCTGTACGATATTGTGGGATTTTGGATCTGGCAACACTGGTCAGCAGTGGGTGTGTTGGCCCTGGTCAGCCTGAAGCAGACCACCTCAGAAAGAAGGCTGAAGAACAGCCTTGTTGCACCCTGGAGAAAGGCAGGCTACTAAAATATGTGAGCAAGCTATGCTATCCGGGCCAGGCCGACCAGGTACAGATGGGAATGGCCCATAAATTCCCCTGGAGTCTAGCTGAGCAACAACATCCATCCCATCCTTCTTGTTGCCAAAGACAATAACTTCAGTCTTGTCTTTGTTTAGTTGAAGGAAGTTTGACTGCATCCTGACGTTTACTTGCTCTAGGCACTGACAGAGTGAGTCCAGTGGACGAGAGTCACTAGGTGATAGGGCTAGGTAGATCTGGGTGTCATCAGCATAGCTATGATGGACAATGTTGTTATTAAGTATGACCTGACTCAGGGGGAGCATATAGAGATTAAAGAGTAGTGGTCCTAGAATTGAGCCTTGGGGGACCCCACATGTCATGAGGTGCTTTTATAGGACACACATGCCGGCATATCAGCGTAATATTACCGCAATGGTGTGTCCTATAAACGCACCATGCCAGCATGGCGTTGCTCGAATATTGCAGCATTCGTTCCGCCTCACTTGGTAGTAATATTGCCGCATCAGTCCCTCGCCTCTGACGGCTAAACGCGTGTCAGCCCCGTTAATCCCTTTGGAGCGACTGTGTTATTTCCGGGCCTGGAGGGTCGGTATCCAGCACGTTTTAGTTGACTCGATTTTCAATAATTGACGGTCGACTTAAAAAAAAATTAAGTCATGCAGCCCCTACAGCAGATTGCGCAAATCTCGGCAGACATGCTCTTTTCAGCACAACACCTGTTCAAATGCGGGTCACCAACAGCAACTGCTCAGAACACCTGAGAACCAGTGGATCGTACGCACGTGTCTGGCTGGCTTACCAAGACTAATGAGCACCTCTCCGTCTCCTTCTTTCCCCAGGGCCTCCAGGGTGGAGACAACGCCAGAGAACGAGGGGCGGTGCTCTGCGCTCATCTGAGCAGAACGAAAGACGTGAAGTGAGAACTCTGAAATGTGACGCTGTGTTAGTGGAGACACGATGCAGCTACTCACACCACAGCAGGTCACCGCCAGGCTGAAGAACGCAGGAGGACAGTCCCCGATCATGTTCTCAAACGCATCCACGTCCAGGCCAAAGTCCTACACACACACACACACACACCTGAGGTCAAACCAACAACAGAACTCATCTCTCATCTTGGCTTCTAAACAAGCTGAGCTCAGTTGGCTGGATCGGATCAGAACCACAGAAACCTGCAGCAGAGCACTACCTCTGTCCTCGGCAGGACGTCGGGATCTGCTTCAATCCGGGCGATGATCTCACACAAGATGATGCCAAATGCAAACACATCCACCTGAGCCAAAACGGAGAGGAGAAGTCAGACTAGGTCATGAGTGTCACCACAGGCAATCATCTAGCAGTTCTTCACCCCGTTGGGTCACAGACGATGGAGAGGGGAGCCGGGTTTAGCAGCTAAGAGTGGAGCGACAGGACGCACGAGGTGACCACCCACACTTACCTTCTCGTTATACAGCTCTCCTCGGAGAACTTCAGGGGCCATCCAGTATGGAGAGCCCACGATGGCTAAAGCCTTTTTCTCAGCATCATCACTGCAAAACCAGCCTGGGAGTTAGAACGCCTTAGACATGATTAGTTATCTGGATGTTCATCAGTGAGGTCACATTAGCCCTCTTAACAAGACACACACCCTGCCGGCAAATCTACGTCAACTGACGGCATTGCTTAGTGAAAACGGCTCTAGTGAGCTAGCTCTAAAGCCCACCTAACGTTTGCGTGTCCATCAGCAATGGCTACAGAACCTTTTGAGGAACAGAAGGACACCAGGGGCTCATGCTGGACTTGTTTAGATAAGACACCATCAGTCTGACCTGTAATCAGGGATCTTCTCAGCCAGGCCGAAGTCTCCCACCACTGCAGTGAACAGGCCATTTTCACAGCGTACCAGACAGTTCTGTAGGAAGACACAGAGTCAGACCCCAGCAGGAACTCATGGCTACGCCGTTTCCCCGTCTCCCCCCCCCCGGAAGAAATGCCGTCTCCACATCCATCTGCTGCATCTAAACAACCTTCTGAGGTGTGGAGGTTAAATATTCCTCCAGTCTGGTTTCCCAGAGCGAAGGGAACCCAAGGAACCAGCTTTGTTATTATCCAACCATGTGCATGATTTCAGCCATGTCCATCTCTGACCACCTCACGCTCTACCGACGCCATTACTGAACACAAAAAACACAAACTTCATCACATCCTACCCTCATCTTTGTTTAAAAGTGCTTTTCAGTCCATCGGTCCCAGCGTGCTCTCTATAATTAATGCTTCTCTGGTTTCTGGTGTAAAGAAATTTTGGTTAGCTCAGCCATATTGTAAGGAAAACTGTCTTTACTCAGTTATATTGTTAAGAAGACTCAAAGGTTGTTTTCATCGATAAACTGACGATAATATCTGAGTGTCTGTGTTTCAGTTCAATGAGGAAACCAGTTTGACAATTAAAAGTTTTAATTCTTCAAATTAAACTAATGATTTTGAAATTGACAAACAGGAAATAACAATCAACATTGGCAACTTTGTGGGACAATCTTTAACAGTTGATATGCTGTTCTTGCTCAAATAGACCTTCTGTCGGTGAATGAAGATTGAGAGTAATAGGATGTGATTATGGATGCGTGGGTGTGCAAAGTGTCGTGAAAATTGAACATGAGGTGAGATGAATGCGTGTGTGCATCTGATTTTGCTTCAGGAAGAAACAGGTGCCTGAGTGAAAAGTGATGGTTTGAATAAACTTAGGTTTAGTTGGAAAAGATGCATCAAAACGCTATCTGTCGTGTTCTGCCTCACCGAAAATTGGACCCTCTGTTGGACCCGGGACGTCACCTTAGGATGATGTTTCATCCAGGGCACCTTGGCTGGCAAAGAAGACAAAGATGCGCCGCGAACCGGTCCAGAGTTGCCCTCGGTACACGTTGATGGTAAAGCGTTTTGTCGATGCGCTTTCTTAAGTTAATTCACTCAGAAATCAAAGACTCTGTATTGAGTCTGCGTTAGAAGTTGCGATTCAGCTATTCTGTCTGGCTTGCAGGAACAGCGGAAAAGGGGGGGGGGAGAAACGAGCCAACCGGCTCTGTCCCCCCTTTAGGTCCTCTCTCTTTCGTTGTCAAGCATGAACTCAAATCATAAGACTGAAACTTACCAAAAGCCTTTCTCTTCTCAAAGCAAACGTGTGCGTCAGCAAATGTGTTTTCGAGTTTACTGTGAGAAGATGTGTGTGGGTGTGTGTGAATGTTTGTGTGTGAAGGTCAGCAACAAACATCCTCAACATTATCATTTAATTAGGAATGGATTAATTAAATCTCTTATAATTACCCAAAGCCTAATAGTCATTCATTTGATTAAACACATTTATAATGAGCAAAATGATAATGGTTACTTTAACATTAAAATCAAGAAACAAAGTTTTAAGACTTGTTATGTTATGACTACTTCTGTGGGAACAACATCTTCTGGCACGAAGCTGCAGGTGGCAGATGTTATGGTTTCCTCCCAGACTCTCTGGCGTTCAGGTCTTAATCTGTGGGTGAAAGTTCTCAACGACCCAGCTTTGACCCAGCTGAGTCCAACACCACCTTTGTGACAGAAAACCCATATTTCCTCACGTTACACTGGTCAGGTCCCTGCTTACTTTAAGAACGCTGTAATCCACCCGCTTCTTAAAAAAACGAGTCTCAACCCCTCTCTCCATAGCAGCTTCAGACCCATCTCTAAACTTCCGTTCATCTCCAAGATCTTGGAAAAGGTTGTGGCTAAACAACTCACAGCTGCTCTTGATGAACATAACATCTATGATAGCTTCCAGTCAGGTTTTCGTAGAGCCCATTCTACTGAAACAGCTCTTCTTAGGGTCTCTAATGACCTTCTGATATATTCTGCTTATTCTTCCTCACTACCTTCTGGTCATGCTGCTATCTCTAACAATTCTGACGTTCTCTGGATCCTGTATTACCTTTTGTTTATTAATTTTGTCCCCCTTCTCATTTCCTAGTTGAAAATTTTCAGTGTGACACATTTTTAGGTCATCCATCTGTCCCTCCGTTTTCGTCTGCCGGAGGTGAGTAGCATAAGCAGAGACCCCGACTTCCCTCTCCACAGCTACTTGGGCCAGCTCTTCCGGGGGAATCCCAGGGCGTTCCCTGGCCAGCCAAGAAACAGTCCTTCCAGCGTCAACCCTGAGTGTTCTAGTCGGAACGTCTCAACCTCACACACTAACTCAGTCTCCGCCCCCACCAGAGAGGTGACATTCCACGCTTTAAAGGGACTTTACAGAGTTTTGAATTTTTATGCTCGTGATTGCCCCCTCAGGCCAAAAGCGTAATAGCAGCTTCAATAGTAGGTTCGTGCACGAGGTGCGCATGCTGTACGTGCACACTCCTTAAGGCAAATAACAGCTGAGACAGTCCTGTGTGTGTGTGTGTGTGTGTGTGTGTGTGTGTGTGTGTGTGTGTGTGTGTGTGTGTGTGTGTGTGTGTGTGTGTGTGTGTGTGTGTGTGTGTGTGTGTGTGTGTGTGTGTGTGTGTGTGTGTGTGTGTGTCGGAGGACAGAGGACAGGAGAACGAGCAGCTAATTAATTAAATAATGTGGTTCTGTACCTTTCTCTTCAGCACAGCCGACAAAGGTTTATGATGGGTCAGTCCTCCTGCATGCTCAGATCATTCCCTTCCCTTGCTTGAAAAATTGTTCCAAAATGAAAGTTGAACCCACATCTTTTTTATCTGTGAATTCAATGCCGTTCGGCGAGTCTCAAATAAAAATTTGGGCATCTTACTGTAAATAAATATAACATTAATGTAAAAAAGAAACTCTAAATAAACTATGTTCACGTCCAGAATCGAACCCGGGTCTTTAACACGAGAGTCCAACGTCTTACAAGGTGAGCTAAAGCACCAGTGACATCTTTTGTATCTGTAACGTTTACATCCTTGATGACAGCTGGAACAACGTTCAAAGAACGGTTCGGAGCGAAAATGGCTATTTTGTTGCTAATTTGCAGGAAATATCTAGAAGAAAGTTCTACAGAAAGTAGCTAAGGGTCCAGAAATGTAGCTAGCTTTGTCACTAGGCGTTAGGAACAGCGACAAAGTGGCACTGCCTCTCTCTCTGCTGCTAAAGCTACGGATAGCAAATGCTACGGGCGATGCCTGAGCGTGAACGCGCATGAAGCAGCCTGCTCGACCCGAGCATCTCTCTTTTTCTGTGATTTTACAGAAAAACAGGCAATCACAGTAAAACTGCCAGGGCTCATTCTACAGGACCAGGGCATTGCAGGAGAATGTATGAAGAAGACATTTATTATTTCTATACATGTTTTGGCTCTCACACTTCCATAATGCCCCTTTAAATAGGGTTTCAACAACTATAAATCTAGGTGGTACGATCGGTGTGCGATTTGTGAAAAAAGCAGGAGGGGGGTGGGGTTTGTGTTTCCACTTTGTATTTATGAAAACTACGACATGCTTTTGGATGATGACTGCAGGTATTTAGTACATAGGTTCCCCCTTTAGAAACAGTGAAAAAAACATAAAACAGGAGTTATGTTGACTTTCGTTCCCCATCTTTGTGCGCATTCACGAGTGGCTGGGTGGCAAAAACAAACAATATGGCCTGCTATCGTACACTTTTAAGAAAGTTTACAAACTAAATCCCTGATATATATACACACGTTACCATCCAAAGACAGGAGGTTTAGAGAGAAGCTTACTGAAGACAAGTTAAAGTAACTAAAGCCGTACGAGCTCTGGGATGACGAAAAACGTCCGCCCGATTTGCCGCCGTCTTTTCACGAGTCTGCTGGGCAGAAATGTGTTCTCACTAAACGGAAAGCCCTGGAGCCTCCACTCATCACACCGAAAGGCTTTCAAACATCTGCAGGTCTACGATTATTTAGTCTCAAGGGGGATTTGAGGCCCTCTCCACTCCAAACCGACTGTTTCACTGGGATCATGTAGATTTTAAACTTACTGTGCACAGATTAAACGAGCCTCCTTCAACACTGGAAGAGGCCTTTTGCACACACATCTCCTTTTTCTTAATGCAAAGTCATCTATGAGGTCACACATCTGTGCTTCACGAGATTCACTCCGCTGCGTTTTTCTGGCTAAAAGCTCCCACAAACGTCTGCTAGCTTCGGTTAACTAGGGCGCTGCCAACCCTGGTCCTCGAGCCAGGGTTCCCCTGCTGCACACGCCTGACTCAAATGAGTGAGTGATTAACAGGCCTCTGCGACACTTGGTCTCCTCCCGAGGAGCCGATGTGAACCAGGTGTGCTGAAGCAGAGACGTGGAACACGTGCAGGACGGTGGCCCTTGAGGACCACTGAGGTAGGGCTTGAATTCGTCCCTTCAGAAGCCTACGGGTGACCTCACGGAGGGTTTGCTCTTCATTTCTACAGTCGTTGGTGACATCACGTGGGCCGCTTCCGAGTGGTAATTCGAAAACAAACACAGAAAAAAGTCTGACCTGCATAGAGAACGTTGAACACAGATCTCCTTCACCCTCATCAGTGGAAGCCCTACCTTGGAGGTGAGGTCTCTGTGGAATATGCCCTTGCTGTGCAGGTACTGAAGGCCTCGGGCGATGTCCAGAGACAGGCCGATCCTCACGCACCAGGACAGGTACAGGTCGCTGTCCAGCAGCTGCTCCAGGTTCCCTCCGTTAATGTACTAGACAGAGCAAGGTTTGGGTGTAAGTGGACTCGGAACATCAGCGGTTTATGACCCGACAGACGCGGAAGCTTTCCGCAGTTTTCAATTTCATCAATGTAGCTGATCTGATCAGAGCTCGGTGTGAAACTAAGCACTTCACTACATCAGACAAACCCACACTGTCCTCACAGATACAGAACCACGCTCCTGTTCTAAGGTCAGGGTTCTGGTTCTGTAGCCATCAGAGAACCTGCAGCATGACGGGAAGGAGCAGGAGCAGAGCAGGAAGAGACAGAAGGTTCTCCACACATCCATCAAACATGCACCACAGTGAGAATGAGAGAGGAAGCCGTTACCTCAGTCAGAGCGTGGAGCTGCCCTTCATGCACGCAGACCCCAAGAAACCTGACGAGAGAGGAAGAAACCGGATGACAGCTGGAACGATAGCGCCCCCGGTGTTTGTCAAGGGCAACGCCACCACTAAGGGGGACAGGCTCTTTCCTGGAGCTAAGGCTGATCTGAAATAACCTGATGAGTATTTCTTTTTGAGCTCCAAGCTGACGTTAAGCATCAAACAAGAGTTTAACTTGTAAGATTCTGTGTGTCAGACCCTGTTGGTCGTAACCTTGTTTAACAAGGAGAAGAGGACCTGAACCCTAGACGGTCCTGTGGTTGCCCTGAGTCCACCTGGGGCGCGTGCAGGTCCAGGATCAGACTAGTAGTCAGAAACGATCAGCATCAGCTCCTCTAGCAGGAGTTGAATCAGTCTGCTGCTCAGGAGCATACAGGCGTGTTTACACAAGGAGCAAAGACACCCATCCACCTGGGACGGGTCCAAGGTCTTCACCAGATTCTACAGAGAAAGATTGCCGACGGGGAGACAACATCCAGACAGCTAATGATCTCAGCAGGTTCAGCCTGAGGTCAGAGGTCAGCACTCAGAGAAACAGACCCAAGAGCTCAGGCTCTATAGGCCTCGGTTAGCAGGTTAAAAGGTCACGGCAGCTCACTTCAGGTTAGTAAAGTCCTCCAAACACACCCACATCACCCCGCTTCTCCTCCAGCTTCACTGGCTGCCAGTCAACTTCAGGGTTCATTTCAAGATCCTGGTTCTGGTCTATGGGGCCTTACATGGACAAGCACCATCTTACATTGGTGATCTTCTTAGTACCTACACCCCCAGCAGGTCCCTGAGGTCCAGTGATCAAAGCCTACTGGTTGTGCAGCACCAGGCTAAAGGTCAAAGGTGACAGATCATCTGCTGCTGTGGCCCCCAGACTCTGGACCTCTCTCCCCCTGAGCCTGAGATCAGTGGACTCAGTGGTCTCCTTTAAACTCACCTGTTCAGGTTTGGTGGGACCTTCAACTCCCTCTCCTGGTTCTGCTCTTACTCTGCCTTTCCCACGATCCGTTGATTCCCCTCTTTCCTATTATTTTCTCTCTCCCTTTCCTCACATTTTTAATCACTTTTTTATGTTTTTTTTTTCTCATTTTAAACATTTTTAATCATTTTTCGAAAAAATAAACTTTACATTTTCATTTTTTGCTTTTGTGAAGCGCCTCCTGATTTTTATCTCCAGAGGCGCCGCAGAAAAGATCGTTTCCTTTCTTTTCTTTTAAAGTTTCATCTGAGCAGACCACAAGACTGTTCACCCAGAATGCACTGCTGCACACACAGCTGATCACAGCTGTCAGCACGGTGGTGGAAGGCTGATGGTTTGGGATTCACTTAGTCCACCAAGACCCCCTGACAGCTGACGTTTGGACCAAACCAGGTCATGAAACAGAACCGGGACCCAAACGCAACAGCAGAACTACAACAGAACCATGGTGCTGCAGTGGGATCTTCACAGAGCTGAGCAGAAACAAAGCTACACAGCCCAGAACACTTCTGGACCCCATAAAGACCAGATGGTTGTCTGCTGTAGAACCCAAAGAGCCCAAAGTGAGCAGCAAGAACATTTTACTCCCATGACTTTAAACTCGCCACAGCAGGATCAGACCCGAGGACCAGCGGACGGAGGGGGAACCTACCGGAGGATGTTGGGGTGACTGAGTCTGTTCATCAGCTGCACTTCTCGGAGCATGTTAGCTTTGTTGCTGGCGAGCGTGTTCATTTTCAGAGCCATCACTTGTCCTGTGATCTGGTGCTGCACCTGAGGAGCAAACACAAGGAAAAATCAACAGGGAACCAAATGGGAATGGGAAAATTCGTGCTTTCTCCAGAAGATGGGTGGTGCTCCGGTGGTAACGTGAGGGACTGGAGGTGTGAACAACGTGTTTGGGACCGACGTTCACCGGCAGACTTCTGTGGAGGCTTCCGTGTTTCTGTGTAATAATAGAGTAGAGCTAATAGGCTTTATGGATTTCCCATCACCCCCCTGATCTGCACAAATCCACACACACACACACACACACACACACACACACACACACACACACACACACACACACACTGACTGAGCAGTCAGTGAGTTTACATGCAGGGTCAGAAAACCCGGCGTTGGTCGACTGAACTGGGTCGGCAGTAATGGAGAGAATACTTTGTAAAACTAGTTACAGAATACAGAATACCTACTTTAAAATGTATTTTGTAGGGATGTAAGAAAATATCGATATGGCAATATATCGTGATATATTTTCCTGCGATTATTACATCAATATTCAAAAGCCGTGTATCTAATTCTTGAAAGAATTTACATGCAAACATTTGTGTATTTTCTTTTCGTTTTGTGCAATTCAATCGCCACCCGCTAGGTGGCAGCAGTGTGCAACGGGTTTTGTTTCCACCATTGAAATGTAAATCCCTCCATCATGGTTCAGATACCTCATGTTGAACATGTTACGTATCAGTTTGGACTGTTTATTGAACATTCTTACAATAAATTCAGTAAAAAAATTGCTTGTAACGTCTGACTGAATGTATCGCAATATATCGTGATTTATCGTATCATCTCCCCTGTATCGTGATATGTATCGTATCGCCAGAATTTCAAAAATACACATCCCTGGTATTTTGTAATGTGTATTGTTACTTTGCATAATCCTGGTACTGCACTCTAAATACTTAGAATACTTCCCTTTTAAAACAGCATTTAAGTCTATTACGGGCGTTGGTAGCTACTCCCACAGGAAAACAGAGGGTAGTACTGACTGGGAAGAAATAAATAAAACAATTAAATTATTTTTGTTACAGTGGTCCCTCGTTTATCGCTTGGGTTATGTTCTAAAAACAACCAGCAAAAGGCAAAATATCAGCGAAGTAGCCAGCTTTACTTTTTACAATTATTTGGCTGATTTAAGGCTGTAAACCGCTTCGCTACACACTTTACTCAGACAGGCACTGACATGTTCACGCTTTTCTCTCGTTTAAACACTCCCGGTGCCCTAATCCCCACGGAGAGCAGAGGAAAGCATGCAGAATTCCACTACAGGTAAGAACGGTGTTCAGGTGAACTTCTTAGTTTTCCCTTCACTAATTTAGCAAAGTGAGCTGAGCTGCCTGAAACTTAATCCTCACATAAACACAGCTAGAACAGCGAATGCCGATTATCAGGGATGTGTATTTTTGAAATTCTGGCGATACGATACATATCACGATACAGGGGAGACGATACGATATATCACGATATATTGCGATACATTCAGTCAGACGTTACAAGCAATTATTTTTTTACTGAATTTATTGTAAGAATGTTCAATAAACAGTCCAAACTGATACGTAACATGTTTAACATGAGGTATCTGAACCATGATGGAGGGATTTACATTTCAATCGTGGAAACAAAACCCGTTGCACACTGCTGCCACCTAGCGGGTGGCGATTGAATTGCACAAAACGAAAAGAAAATACACAAAAGTTTGCATGTAAATTCTTTCAAGAATTAGATACGCGACTTTTGAATATCGATGTAATAATCGCAGGAAAAAAATCACGATATATTGCCATATCGATATTTTCTTACATCCCTACTGATTATATTACGGCTACAGCATGAAAACCATCAAATGACCAGATGGGCCGCTCCAACACTCCACCCTCTCCTACCGCTGTAACTGTTAAACCCAGGAGAAACCCTGGATGTGTGGATTGCCCCCGATGATGCTGTTCCAGGGATTCACCAGCAGTTAGGTGATCTGAGTTTGTCTGTAAAACCTACCCTTAGAAACCTTGGGAGTTTTCTTTGACAAGGGAATGTCTCTTGAACATCACTCAAAGCAGTTAACTAGAAACTGTGTTTACCACTTGAGACAAATTTCTAAACTCAGAACAATGGTGTCTAAAGCTGATCTTGAGTTGATTATTCACGCGTTTACATCATCCCGTTTAGACTACTGTAATAGTTTATTTTCTTGTCTAAACAAAAAAGAGCTGTCCCGCTTACAACAAGTCCAGAATTGTGCAGCTAGAATTCTGACCCGTGACAACAGAAGGGCCCACATTACCCCCAGTTTAAAAGCTCTTCATTGGCTTCCAATCACATTTCGCATCAATTTTAAAATTCTTGTGTTGACTTTCAGAGCGCTGCATGGTCTGGCTCCATTGTATGTTCGAGACATGCTCTGCCCTTACACGCCTTCTCGCAGGCTGAGATCACTGGATCAAAACCTTTTAATGGTCCCACGTACTCAGTTCAGGACACGAGGAGATCGCTCATTCCAGGCCGTCGCTCCTAGGCTCTGGAATGAGCTACCTCTGTCTTTACGCTCAATCGACTCAGTTGATGTTTTTAAGAGCAATCTTAAAACCCATTTGTTTCTCCAGGCATTTTAAACTTAGTCTCATTCGGATTGGTTGTATTTGACACTATGTATATTGTGGCTGTATTTTACTGTATTTATATGTTGTTGCCTTTTAACTTGTGAAGCACTTTGTGACCTTTTTGTCTGTGAGAGGTGCTATAGAAATAAAGTTACTTACTTACTTACTTACTACTCACCAAGCAAACACTTTTCAGATGCTCACGTTAAAGGGACAATGTGCAGTTTTACCATTAATCTCTGGAAATATCCATTGAAATATTGTAAATGAATGAAAACATGCCCAGTTGTTGAAAAATATTGCCGGCTTCGTAACATATAACCATAAAAATCAGGTCTAAATTACATGGGAGCGGGTCTAAGTGTGTAGGCGACGCCATATGGTAACAAAACTGTCACCATTAATAAAGTTGTTGTTTTACACATTGACCTCTTCACTCGTTGCCACTGATGAAAGGGAATCTGATGTGCTTGTCATTTTGCTGGAGGTTGTACTCCTGAGGATTTTTGACCCTAATGGCCATCCGTTCGTAAAGTCTTACTTGAACACAAAAACAATGCTTGCAATGATGTAGGTATGTAGCCCCTATCGCCAGGGAAAATACACGCCGTCACTTTACCGCTCGTCCTCCCAGCCGTGGACATTTTCTCTTCTTTTACACGTAAATTGTTCAACTATTACCGGCATATGGTTACCGCTAGCCTGTTCAAACGTCCAACCTGAGCTCTGATTGGTTCTTTTTTCAATTGGCCCTGCCCCTCCCCTCATAAAATGCTGATTGGTTCTTTTTGCCATTTGCCTATCTTTTCCATTTTCTGATTGGATTTTCGTTAATGTCAGTTATCGTTGACTGCTTTTAGTTATTGACAGAAAAAAATCTGCGACAAATGTCACGTTATTTGTTATCCAGTAGAATGAGACAGTTGGAAAGACAACATAGATCCTGACACATGGCTGAGAGCGGTCAATGGACAGTTGCCAGACTATTGTTGTGACTCCGCCCACTGCGGAACAGCAGCGGCGAAGGTGCATTGTGGGTAACCGCTTTTCAGTTGTTTCGTTCTATTTTGATGTGGTTTGTTAAGGTTTTATTGCCAGGGTTGTGTGGATGTTGTTAGTCTTCTGTTCTGATTGTGCTGTTTTTATTAGCGTTCTTTTGCACCATGAGAAGGGGTTCCATGCCGAGGAATGGGACAGTGGTTCCGTTTGGCTGTTTCATCGTGTAGTTCACTATGGCGCTTACACGTTAGCTGCACGGACGGGGTTGTGTCGGGCGGGATGGCGTGAGTTTGGTCTGGAACGGGAGGTGCAGTGAGGGACTTCTCAGGAATGCAGAATCCACCGAACCTGTGAGCGGGGTTTAATACGCGCGGGAGTCCGCTCCAAAAGGCGGACATGGGCTGTGTTGCTTTTGGAAACTCTGAACCACATTATTGTATTAATTTGCTGTGCACGTTATTTTAATAACGAGAGCTCCGATGCGGAGAACAGGTGCGCACACACACACACACACACAGCTATTCTCTTCTCTCATGCGGGGAACCACCCGCTGGCTCATTCTTCTCACAGATCGGACAAGGCAGGCATAATTTCAGCCGGCCAATCAGTCTGTAGTGTCACCTCGGTCCCAGTCTGACCCAGGGGAGAAGGTCTGAGAAAAAGAGTCTCCTCGGCACCAAAAATGCAAATCTGACCTGTGTGTGAAACCAAATTCTGGTGCCGTTTGATACCGTTTGGGGTCGTGCCGATGCTAACGTGTAAAGGCTGGTTTATAATTGACGCGTCTGCGAGGTCCGCACGGCTCCGCGCGGCGAAATTGCGTCATTTTAACAACCACGCCCCTCCACCGCATCTCCACACGGCCCAAACTTTCCACACCGCGCACCTAGGAAAATTTCTAACCACGCGGACGGTCGGACGCGGAAAAACATGGCGGACCTGCAAGAACTAGTATGGCAGAGGTTGGTAAATACAGACATTTGTAGGATTCAGCTCTCAGAGATCACCGTGATCAACATGTTGTTAATAATTCTTGGAGAGAAATAGCTCGCACTGTCGGAAAAGACGAGGATGCTGTTAAAAATGCTGGAATGCCATGTTGTAAACAGTAATTTCTACTTCTACTACAGTGTAGTGTTGGATGCATGCCGTAGAGCTCCATGCTGCCCCCTACAGTTTGGGAGAATATTGGCTCACCGCAGAGACGAGCCGCATGAACCATAAACGCTGCGAGTTGTGAACCGCGTTCCATCCGCGAGCCGCATCGCCGCGCGGAAAGTAAATGCGTCAAGCATAAACCAAGCTTAAGCTGAGTCCGGTGCCTTGGCTCTTGCTGGATGCTTGCTATCATTGTTCTGCTGGTCGCATCGCGTTGGAGTGGCAGGCACCACACTATTTATTCATACAAATCAGATGGCTAGCCAGGCTGGGAAAATGCAAGTATTCTATGTTATGAAAGTAACTGTACAATACCATGTTTACAAATAGTAACGGTAACAGATTACAGTTACTCATAATTTGTATTCCAAATACATAACGGCGGTACTAGTATTCTGTTACTCCCCAAAACTGTGGGTAGGTAACACAAAGAGTGATAAATTGTCTGCAAGTACTCAACGGAAACCAATGTGGTGTTGGTGCATTGTGGAAGTTATTATGGGATGCAGCAAAAGACTAGCCTGGCAGGCCATGTAACTGTGTAGTAGTCGTTTTACAAGCTAACGATTCTCAGATAATCGAAACCATCGGTCGAAACACATTTAAACTGAACACAACACGCGTGATTCAGGGCGTAAGGCCAAGTGAACCGAACTTTTGCATCAGATTCTCACTGTTTCACTTCTAAGTACCTCTTGCTGCTCAGGCCTCAAAGAAAGGCATGAGGCTAAATGGTTAAAAGTTGATGTGAAAACTTTTTAAACGAAGAGCTGTGATTGGCTGGACTAAAGTTGTTCGGACTGTTGGTAGACCTGCTGAGGCTACCATGGAGCGTGACTGGACCGAACTGTTTTGCTGCTGCTACAACCAGCGTGGTGACTGGGATTGTGGTGATTCCCATCAATGAACAGCCCTGGTTGCAAGGGCCTAAGTGGGTTAAGGGGTTTGGAGGGCAACAAGCTTTTATTTAAACATGTTAAAGCCAACAAGAGGTTTGATTAGACTGTTTAAAGCAGGAAAAGTAACACACACACCTTAAAGACCTCAGAGAAGAAGCCAGAACCAATTTTCTCACAGAAGAAGTCATCGATGCGGGCCAGACTGGACACAGCACTCCTCAGGGCCCGGTAGGACGATGGTCGGACCCGGTTGGGTGCATGGATGCTGTGCAGAGGCGGGTCATCTGGACCTCCGTCCTCAGCATCACAGAAGCAACACTCGGTGTGGTAGTCCATGGTGCTGATGGAGCGCCACAGGGTACTCCAAATATCTGCTACACCTGAGTAGTCCTGAGGCCCACTGTGCCGGGCCCGGTACCGCCCACCATCGTAGTGTCCAAATCAGCCTGAGTGAATCCTCCCAGGTGTGGGAATGCTTAGATCACCTGGTCTGTGAGATCCAGGTCCTTCTAGCCAGTCAGAAGATCCATCTGCGCGGACAGAAACCCACCAGGAGCTCTAGAGACGATCCGGGTCAGCAGTTCTCCCTGTTCCGGCGGTCCGTGAACGCATCCTCACCGTGCCATTGCGAGAGGAGGCCCGGTTCGCTCCGTTAGTTCGGCGAACGTGATGCCTGACCCCGGTGGCTTTCTTTCCTCTTAAGAGTCGGGATAAAGCCTCCGATCCCCGGGAGAATGAGCACGGTCCATCCGCCGGTTACCGAACAGGTCTGGTTCTGACCCAGAACGGGGCCCTGCAGGCGCTCCATCCCCAAGTCCTCATTCAGCCTAACAACAGTATTTATTATGCTGATGGATGTGCGTGTGTGAGAGCCGCTTACAGCGAGGCTAAACAGATTAATGGATTCCCGGGACTCCCAGACCTGCGGAAGAGCGGCCGCGGCGACTCACCTGTCCTTCACCGTCGGACCGGACCGGACCGGACCGGAAACGTCTGCGCTCCGAGCCCCGAACGGGAACTAGAGCCAGAAATCAGGCTGGGTACCGCGGCAGCCTCAAACGAGCCCGTCTGGGTTTGTTTAGCCAGCCACTTGTTAAGCTAGAGGAAGTCACACGTGGAACTTCCTGTTTAGAGTTTCACAATAAACGTTTTAAGCTTCAACACGAAATAAATTTTTAAATAAATTTAAATTTAACGAAATAAGTTTTATCACTCGTCATCAAAACAAAACATTGTAACTATACAATTTGAAAGCCTTCCTTTTGTTTTTATACTCCTTAATTTATGTTTACTGATTAAAAACAGTTAGTGAATATAGACTCAACAGGTTTTTACATCCGGCGTCAATGTCAATTAGATCCATCACTTGTTTCTTATTCATCATCTTTTCCCCTTTCCTCACATTTTTTAAAATCACAATTTTAACTTTTCCCATTTTTATGATATTTTTAATAATTTTAAAATAATTATTTTTAATTTTCTTTCTTGTGAAGCGTCTTGTGATTTGTATCTCGAGAGGCGCTAAACTAAATATTGTTTCTTTCTTCTTTGACAAAGCTTTCAGGTCTGGCGATGCCAGGTCTGCCAGGTCAGAGCTGAAGTGGGGAATCAGAGAGGCCAACAGCTTCTTTGGCTGCCATGAGGTGATGACAGCTGGAACCACGACTCCAGCTCCAGCACCAACATGCAACAGCCAGGTGCTCATCCTGCAGACCGCTGAGGTACAGCGTACACCCAGAGGTGTTAATGCAAGGAAAGCAGCTGGTCCAGGTGGCATTCTGGGAAGGGTGCTACGCGACTGTACAGCGGAGCTGGCTGAGGTCTTCACAGACATCTTCAACATGTCTCTTTCCTAGTGCTCTGTCCCCAGCTGTCTAAAAACCTCCACAATAGTACCAATACCCAAAAGTCTGCAATAATGAGCCTCAATGACTACAGGCCTGTAGCTTTAACACCTCCAGTGCTGGAACACACCAAGGTGAAGGCATCAGGAAGATCAACCGGCCACAAAAACCGCTGGTGTAGTTTTATCACTGCTCCACAAAAGTATCCTGACCAACAGCATCCTGGTGTAGTACAGCTGACAGGGAGGCCCTGCAGAGAGCAATTACAACTGCAGAGAAAATAACAAACACACACCTGGCTGCCCTGGATCACATCTTCACCACTCGCTGCCTCCAGAAAACCACAAACACCCTAAAGGACTCAACACACCCCGCTAACCATCTCTTCAAACTTGTTCCATCTGGTAAACAACACAGGGCAATAAAAACATGCACCACCAGCTTTAACGCAAGAGCATCACTGAACTGAACGTTGCTGCTAGGAGGTCACACACAGGCTGTGATTCTGCAGGTGCACTACAGCACCTGTAAATTAGGCTAGTTTTATCCAACTCTAAGCTTGTTATATTGTCATCACGTAAAAGTCTGAAGTCATCACTGATTTTAGGAATATGCATTTCAATACTGTTCAGGAAGTTATTACAATTTTCTTCAGAGAATTTTGAGGAGTACAAATTGTCATAAAATTTAAGAATTTCCTTTGAAATTATCTCGTCATCCGTAATTTCTATATTATTTATCAATATTGATTTTATACTGTTCTGTTTTTGTCTCCTTTTTTCCAGATTACAGAAGTATGCATCATTCTTTTCACCCTCCTCAATCCACTTTGTTTTTGCGCTCAGTGACTTTCAGTTGCACTTAGTGAATTTGTTGTTGCGCTTTTCAGTTTGTTGTGCGTTTTGTGATTTGTTTTTGCATGTTTCAATTTGTTGTTGCATTAAGTGATTTGTTTTTGTGGTTTGCACTTCTGGGCCACCGTACTAAAGTTACTGTGATTATGAGTTGGTTTCTACTGGGATGTGAAAGGCATTTCAAGCAATAGAAAATGCTTCAGAAAAGCATCTGACATTACACCTTTAAGCTTTTGTTTATTATTTTACCCGAAGTAGTTTTGAAACCAATATTTTTCTACCTTTACTCGAGTAGAAAGCTTGAATTGATACTTTAACTTCAACATAAGTCTTTCAAAACCTTGTGTGTGTGTATTTTTGATCAAATCACTCTATTTACGTGTGTGTTGGGGTTATTGTCGGGTTTTGTCGCCCTCTGGTGACCACCTATATACTACAAAGATTTCTTCAGGGTTCTTGGAAACAGGTTTCACTTTCTCTTCTTGCTCGTCGTTGCGTCGGTGATTTCCTCGAAGTGTAGGAGTCTGAAACAGGAATGACGGACTGTATCCATCCTTTCTGAGAGAGTGGAGCTCTTGGTAAGGACTTATCTGGCTTGTTGACGTGAATCTGAGTCTGTCTGAGTTGTAAAAGTGGCAAGTTGATGAATTAACACCGAACATGTCAGAGCTGAAGCTCAGGTAAATGACTCGTGTTTCTGCTGCAGACAGCTGTAGGTGTGTAAGGACCATGGAGCAACGTGAGGACAGGGTGGAGAGGGTCTGTCCTTCTAAAACCAGTCTGAGTGAGGAACCTGAGAGGTGAGCAACTGGACCCTAGCAGTGTGTGACTGCTACCGGAAGTAGGACCTAGCTCCAGACAGCTGGCGCGTCACCGGAAGAACCTTCTAGCGAGAACAAGATGGCGTGTCATGACTTTATGAAAAAAAAATTATTAGAAAAGATAATATACGAACAAAATGCACCTTACATTACATATTCAGAGAATAATCATTCCTTACATATTAAACACTTTCATGTATATGAAAAAAAAAGAAAATCTAAAGATGGGGTCACATAATTAACAGATAATTAGCTTACTAACTCAAAATCTACAAAGGAAATAAAAAAATCAGCCTTTTTCTTTTGAACTAAAATCAAAGATTTAACCAATAATTTTAAGTCGTTTTTCCAATAAGCTAGTGTTGGTTTGGTCTTAAAAAACGACATTTATATATAAATTGTTTGCACAAAATTAATAACACATTAACACCATAATTAACTTTCTTTTCTTTCAAAAACACTCCAAACATGATCATATTTAAGGTAAATGGGGTAATTTGAATCCCATTGAAACAAAGCCAGGCATGAAAATCCAACCAAAACATTTGTATAAAATTGCACAAAAAATAGATGGTCTAAGTCCTCCTCTTCTGTTTCACAAAATACACAATTACCAGCTTCTATATTGAATCTATCCCCAAGGATTCTATTTGTTGGGTAAATTTTATTCAAAATTTTAAATTGGACTTCTTTCCCTTTAGGAGCGATAGGGAAGGTGATATAATCACTTCTTATTTTTTCGATTTCTTCCCTTTGGAAATCTTTTAATATGTAATTACGTCTAAGTAAATTTGGATAATAAAGACTCCTTAATGAAGATCTTAGAAACTTATTATGCATTTAACATCACAAAATCGGACATCATCTATATATAGTTGTCTTAACCTGGGGGAGATGTCAGAATATATTATATCATTTACAGCTATGTTTTTAAGTGACAGTGGAATGGATTTTATAACCCGATTAAATTTATTTTCAGAACATTGGAAATTAAACTTTAGGCAAAAATCTTGATGTTCTAGAACATGTCCTTATTTATCTACAAAATGGCCAATTGCCCAAACACCTTTTGATAACCAATCTTGGATAAAAACAGATTTTCTGTTCATTAGCATATATCTATTGTTCCAAATTGGGCTATTATGTGGAGTGAAATTATGTTTAAATAACATTTTCCAATAAAGAAGGACCTGTTTATGGAATGCAGAGAGTTTAATAGGTAGCCTAGTAATTTCAAAGTCACATTTTAGAGAAAAATCGACACCCCCCAGTGTGTTAAAGACCTTACTTGGTATAAAAAACCAAATGGAGTGTGGATTATTTAGGAAGGATTTTAACCATTTAAGCGTGCCATTACTTTTACTGGAAAATCGATGAGCGAAAGACCTCGGCCGGAAGTTGGTGTGTTTTGGCGGCCGCTTTTGTTTCAACCATACTCGGTGGGTTTCAAAGAGGAAAGGTAAGGATGAAATTAACTAATGTTTGTAACCGTTCTCAGTTCTTAAATGTGGGCACTTTAGCATTTAAAGCTTTATCAGGGAATTATTGCAAAGGCACCATGTTTCATAACTAATTGTATCAGTATCAACCAAGCCCCCACAATGCGGCTCAAAAATTGAAGCAATCCCGGAAGTACCAAAAATTGCAGTTCCACCCTCATCCACTAGGGGCTGGTGCCAGAAGTGAGCAAATCCTCATTGACTCCCATGTTAAAAATACCAATTTCACAGCAGAAATAAACATGTTTACAGCCTGGTACCAAAACATGTTTTTGGTTTAAATTATCTAGTTTACACTCATGACAACTCTGAGGGGGATGAATGTTTTTCTCACTCTTCTGTTTAAGTGTATTAAAAGCCTAAAATTCTGTATAATTAATGAGCATCAGACCCACGTGACCACCTCGGTCTGGCCTGGAAACTGTTCCGGGATTTTGAGTCTTTGTGTGTGTGTATTCTGTTTTGGATATTTTTTGTGCAATTGTTGGACAAAATGACTTGCTGAGGCATTAATTGCTCTAATAGAGCATCCAAGGAGTCTCCACTTCATTTTTTTCAGTAAGTAAAATTATATTTATGTACTTTAGGTCACTGCCGAGCTGAGATTAGATTTTAACATGTACTGTTTAACCATGAAATTTAAATGTAATAGGGTAAAACCCAGTGCATTTAACATAATGCTGCACTTTAGAAAATGGGTTGAAATATAACATGTTGGTGGAGATGGGTTCTGACTATCGGCTTGTGGAGCTCTCGGGAGACCGATGTTTTCCACCCAGTTCTCCCCTCCCCGCAGCTCGGCGCATCTCTGTCTGATCGCGGCTTCTGTCTGCTGCGTGGGCTGCCGGCTTGTGGAGCTCTGGGATGGAAATTCGCTTGCCAATGAGCGGAATTTGGTTACCAAAATAAAAGCTGGATCTCGCTAACTTCTTTATAAACTCTTGCTCCGAACCAGAACTTGTTTTATCTCCAGTTCAACTCTTCTGAACATGTCCGACATATTGGCTGAAGAAGAATAGAACCAGAGATAAAACAAGTTCTGGTTTGGAGCAAGAGTTAATAAAGAGGTTAGCGAGATCCAGCTTTTATTTTGGTAACCAACTTCCGCTTATTGGCAAGCGAATTTGCGTATTAGCTAAATGTTTAAGTACCAGCTAAATATTTATTTTACACGATGTTATTTAGCTCCACACTATATTTTATATTTTTGGGTCAGACTAAAATATTTATTTCCCAAATACTGATTTTGCAAACTAAATGTTTAGCTGGGATCTAAATATTTTTTTCGGAAAATAAATATTTAATTTACAAATTAAATATTTAGTTCCAAAATAAATATTTAATTAGTAAATTAAATATTTAGTTAGTGAATTCAATGTTTATTTTACAAACTAAATATTTAGATCAGGACTAAATATTTAGTTTGCAAAATAAATATTTAACTACAAATTAAATATTTAGCTTGCTAACTAAATATTTATTTGGAAACTTTAACATTTATAAATGTATGAATAACATGATGAAAATATGACTTCGAAAAAGTAAACTCCCAATTTTTTCTCTTATGATATGCTAAATAACCAAAAATATTGCTGTTAGATTATGACTGTTTGACTTTACAAATGGCACCCCATAGTGGTGACCACCTCCCATTCCTCCTCCAAAACGTGTTATTGGAGCGTATGGAAACCCATTGTCCAATATTTATATGTCGATGGTATCAACACGCAGTCTTACTAATGCAGGGAGTTCACAAGCTAACACAAAAGCTACATCAATAAAGCAGTCAGCAATTGTAGCTTAGCTTTAACTTAGCTATTTGATGTTTCTGGTCTCCCTATTTGTTAAAACAGTTAAAGTAGGTGTTCAGAGATATCCAAACATTAAAAGTGAAATTAATGAATTAATAAGTATATTAAATATTACATTTTAGTTGCACTTTCTAAAACACTATTATATCTTCTTCCTCTCAGGAAACAGATATATCACAAGTTAAATTTCATACGAGAACATGATTTAAAGGGTGAATCTCCGTCATCAGAAAGTCCTTTGCTGCTAAATTCGATATCGAGAAAATTAGTGTTCACATCTATCTAATCCATAAAGAGGATAAAAACACGATTACACTGTTATCGGACAGTTTATTATTCACGTTATACCATAACTTTGTAATGAGGCCATTCTTTTTTTTCCTCTGCTTAAGAGTCGTTTTAAAGAAACACGGTGAACCCTAAAACATTAACAAAGGCTGGAGCAGTACGCTGGTCTCTAGGCATCATTGTCCAAAGAAAAGAGAATTTCTTTCTCAAACGAACACGAGACTTCTGGGTCAAACTGTTTTTTTAGCAACAGCGTGCTCAGCAACGTTCTGATGAGATTTGAACATTTTCCTTGTCATCAGTCGGGACTTATTTAGTATCCATGACTCCTTAAACAGTCAGGCTGCTGTCGCCACTATATCTGATCATCTGAATGCAACAGACTGGATGGCAAGTGTACAACAAACCACCAGAACTGACTGCTTAGTGAATCTTGTACATCATTTGTTTATCGTTGTGAACTCCCCCCATTCTCTTCATTTCTGTCTCTGTGTTCTTTGGGATTAAAAACAACCAAAAGCATCTAATAAAGTTTACATACCAAGTGGAGGAATTCAGCTGAATCTATAACGCTCTACCTGTGAGAGTAAGACTGTGAGGCTTGTGTTCGGTACTCAGACATCAGTTCTGGTTGCTGTACAGATGTGCAGATATCAGACGGATGGAGGACAGATATACCGTGCATCTCGCTCTCTCGCTGCCCGAGCTGGAATAGCAAGACTCAACCCATCAGGCTTACTCAGTGCATATTTGGTCTCTTTTTGTATGACCTTCTTCACCCCTCTCTCTTTATTCTGCTCTCCCCACCTGTCCCACCTTCCTCAGGATTCACTGATTTCCCTCTTTCCTGTTCCCCCTCTCTCTTTCTTTACATTTTTTAATCACAATTGTCTATTTTTGCTCATTTAAAATATATATTTTTAAACATTTTCTAAATTCTTTTAAAAATTTTTACATTTTTTGTTTTTGTGAAGCGCCTCGTGATTTTTATCTTGAGAGGCGCTATAGAAATGATATTTTCTTCTTCTTCTTCTTCTTCTCTGGTTAGAACTCCAGCGCTCAGCCTTGCAACACCACATCAAGGCGCACCGATATCTCCTACTGATAAATGTGGAGGACACGTCCACTCTGACTAATCAGGATGCCACGCTGGTGCATTTCCACTATAATCGGTTATCTCCGCATCTCAGTAAATCTATTATTAGATTATTTTCTTCATCGCTACTTATCAGTCCCTCCCTCTAATCAGTTAAAAGGTCCTATGTCAGAAAACCCAGGAGATTGCATGCGGTCACTGATCTTTGCCATGTGTCAGCTCCGCTCTCATCAACACAAAATATTAATTTACAGGAATCAGCAAGTTCCACGGCCAGGACGAAAACCACATTGCTCCTCCTCTATCTGAGATTCAACTATCGATCGGACCCTCCTCTCCAGTACCTTGGAGTAGACCTTTCCAGGGAGGCTGAGGAGTGTGATCCCCCTATAGTTGGAACACACCCTCAGGTCACCCTTCTTAAAGATGGGGACCACCACCCCGGTCTGCCACTCCCTAGGAACTGCCCCCGATGACCACGCAATGTTGTAGAGACGTGTCAACCATGACAGCCCTACAACATCCATAGCCTTGAGATACCCAGGACGAACCTCATCCGCCCCCGGGGCTCCGCCGCTGTGTAGTTGTTTGACTACCTCAGCAACTTCTGCCCCCGAGATCGGACAGTCCATCCCCAGGCCTCCCAGCTCTGGTTCCTCCTCGGAATGCGCATTGGTGGGATTGAGGAGCTCCTCAAAGTATTCCTTCCACCGTCTGACTATAGCCTCAGTTGACGTCAGCAGCTCCCCATCCCCACTGTAAACAGTGTGAGCGAGTTGCTGCCTTCCTCTCCCGAGGCGCCGGACAGTTTGCCAGAACCTCTTTGGAGCCGATCGATAGTCTTTCTCCATGGCCTCACCAAACTCCTCCCACGCCCGAGATTTTGCCTCGGCAACTGCCACTGCTGCACCCCGCTTGGCTATCCGGTACCTGTCTGCTGCCTCCGGAGACCCACAGACCAGCCACGCCCTGTAGGCCTCCTTCTTCAGCCTGACGGCTCCCCGAACCTCTGGTGTCCACCAGCGGGTACGGGGGTTGCCACCACGACTGGCACCGGCCACCTTACGACCACAGCTAGCAACAGCCGCCTCGACAATCGCAGAGTGGAACAAGGCCCACTCGGACTCAATGTCCCCCACTGCTCTCGGGACGTGGTCAAAGCTCTGCCGGAGGTGGGAGTTGAAGACCGTCTTGACAGGTTCTTCTGCCAGGCGTTCCCAGCAGACCCTCACTATGCGTTTGGGTCTGCCAGGTCTACGCGGCATGTTCCCTTGCCATCTGATCCAACTCACCACCAGGTGGTGATCAGTTGACAGCTCCGCCCCTCTCTTCACTCGGGTGTCCAAAACATACGGCCGCAGGTCAGATGATACGACTACAAAATCTATCATCGACCTGTGACCTAGGCTGCCCTGGTACCAAGTGTACCGGTGGGCATCCTTATGTTCGAACATGGTGTTCGTTATGGCCAAACTGCGGCTTGCACAGAAGTCCAATAACAAAACACCGCTCGAGTTCTGATCAGGTGGGCCGTTCCTCCCAATCACACCCCTCCAGGTCAAGCTGTCATTGCCCACGTGAGCATTGAAGTCCCCCAGCAGGACAATGGAGTCCCCTGATGGAGCACTATCTAGCACTCGTCCCAGGGACTCCAAAAAGGGTGGGTACTCTGAACTGATATTTGGCCCATAAGCACAAACAACAGTCAGGACCCGTTCCCCGACCCGAAGGCGCAAGGAAGCTACCCTCTTGTCCCCCGGGGTAAACCCCAACACACAGGCAGAGAGTCTCGGGGCTAACAAAAAGCCAACCCCAGCCCTCCGCCTCTCACCCAGAGCAACTCCAGCAAAGTAGAGTGTCCAACCCCTCTCCAGGTCTCGGGTTCCAGAGCCAATGCTATGTGTCGAGGTGAGTCCGACTATATCTAGCCGGTACCGCTCAACCTCTGCCACAAGCTCCGGCTCCTTCCCCGCCAGCGAGGTGACGTTCCATGTCCCAAAAACTAGTTTTCTTGTCCGGGGATTGGACCGCCAAGGCTCCCGCCTTGGTCTGCCACCCGATTCACATTGCACCGGACCCTTCATGTTCCTCCTGCGGGTGGTGGGTCCACAGTTGGACGAGCCCATGTATCCGGTTCGGGCTGGGCCCGGCCGGGCCCCATGGGCGAAAGCCCGGCCACCAGGCGCTCGCTCACGGGCCCCAACCCCAGGCCTGGCTCCAGGGTGGGACCCCGGTAACCCTCCGGGCCGGGTACTCCGACTCTTCGTTTTAACCGCCATGAAAGATCCTTCAGATAGAGGAGGAGCAATGTGGTTTTCGTCCTGGCCGTGGAACTGTGGACCAGCTCTATACCCTTGCAAGGGTGATGGAGGGGGCATGGGAGTTTTCCCAACCAATCCACATGTGCTTTGTGGATTTGGAGAAGGCTTATGACCGTGTCCCCAGGGGCACCCTGTGGGGGACGCTCCAGGAGTATGGGGTGGGTGGCTTTCTGTTAAGGGCCATTCAGTCCCTTTACCAGAGGAGCGTGAGTTTGGTCCGCATAGCCGGTAGTAAGTCGGACCTGTTCCCAGTGAGGGTTGGACTCCGCCAGGGCTGCCCTTTGTCACCGGTTCTGTTCATCACTTTTATGGACAGAATTTCTAGACGCAGCCGTGGTGTGGAGTGTGTCGAGTTTGGTGGCAGGAGAATCTCGTCTCTGCTTTTTGCGGATGATGTGGTCCTCCTAGCTTCATCCAGCTCTGACCTTCAGCTCTTGCTGGGTAGGTTCGCGGCCGAATGTGAAGCGGCTGGGATGAGGATCAGCACCTCCAAATCTGAGACCATGGTTCTCGACCGGAAAAGGGTGGCTTGCCACCTCCGGGTCGGGGGAGAGGTCCTACCTCAAGTGGAGGAGTTTAAGTATCTCGGGGTCTTGTTCACGAGTGAGGGTAGGAGGGATCGGGAGATCGACAGGCGGATTGGTTCGGCATCTGCAGTGATGCGGACGCTGAGCCGATCTGTCGTGGGGAAGAGGGAGCTGAGCCAGAAAGCCAGGCTCTCGATTTACCGGTCGATCTACGTCCCAATCCTCACCTATGGTCATGAGCTTTGGGTAATGACCGAAAGAACGAGATCGCGGATACAAGCGGCCGAAATGAGTTTCCTCCGTAGGGTGGCCGGGCTCAGCCTTAGAGATAGGGTGAGGAGCTCGGACATTCGGGAGGGACTCGGAGTAGAACCGCTGCTCCTCCGGATCGAAAGGAGCCAGTTGAGGTGGTTTGGGCATCTGGTCAGGATGCCTCCTGGACGCCTCCCCGGGGAGGTGTTTCGGGCATGTCCTGCCGGCAGAAGGCCCCCGGGTCGACCCAGGACACGTTGGAGAGGTTACATCTCCAATCTGGTCCGGGAACGCCTTGGGGTCCTGCCGGAGGAGCTGGTGGAGGTGGCCGGGGAGAGGACGGCCTGGAGCTCCCTAGTTGGGATGCTGCCCCCGCGACCCGGACCCGGATAAGCGGAGGAAGACGAGACGAGACGAGGAATCAGCAAGAGCCTAAATCTGGACCAGGACCCGAACCCAGCTGTGTGTCCTTCAAGAGCGACCAATCTAAGGATCTTGAGATTCTCTTTAAGGCAGCAGAGAGGTGAGCTAGAACACACACACACATACACACACACACACTCAAACGTAGAGGAAAAGAGCTGAGAAAAGGCAGAGAGGAAATGGAGGACACCAAGTGTTTAAAAGAAAAACTACAGCGGAGCCGAGGAGCGCCTCGACTGGGGCGCGTCTGATTTGAACTGAGGAGCGGCGAGCAGCGGCCGAATTTCGTGAGCGATTCGCTTCTCGGTGCTTCCGCGGCCGGTGTGTCCCCGGCATAACGGTTCTGTCTGAAGCAGCGTCGTTCCCGCCGCTGATGCTTCCGGAGTGCAGTACGGGTTGTTGTCAGGCTCTGAAACAGGAAAGAGCTTCAGTTGATTTAGTAGGAGTGAAAACGAGGTCCGGAGGCTGAGATCAGGCAGGGTAAAAGGCTGGAAGATTTACTAGCAAGGAGCGTTCAATAATCTGGCACTGGTTGGAGAGCAGGCTGGGATTTAAATAGCAGAGGGAGCAGGTGTGTGGGATGAGCTGATTACAGGAACAGGTGAGATGAATGAAGCTGATGAGGCTGAGGTTGCTGTGGAAACAGGGCTCGGCTGCAGCTTGATGAGGGGACCAGGTGTGCTGCATGAAGGCTGAAGGCTTGATGAGGAGGCAGAGGAGGGTGAAAGATTGGGAGTCATGACAGAAATATGAAATATCACCTTAATGGATCTTTAAGTAGATTTAACCAGAAGATTGGATCTTTTTATTGCAGGGATTGAGCAAAACTCTGTATTAACTTCAATAAAAGAGAGTGAGTCAAGTTTCAAAAGTTTAAAGATTTCTTACTAAAATTAAAACTAGACTAACTTCAACACTAGGTGTATGGTGTAACTAAGGTGAGGTAAGACTGAGAATGGTGTATGTTGTTCAGAACTAGCAAATCCGGAGAAACGATTAGTTCTGGTGGGAGTGAAGAAGATATTTTCGCGCTAAGCTTTGGTTTGGAGATTCATAAACACACATTGAGACGCCACTTTGTCGATCTACATACCCTTTCGGAAGTCCCCGTCTAGATATGGAGGTGTAGAGGTCCAGCTTGGACCTTTTCTGGAGCCGAAGCCTGTAGCACAGCCGCGGTCACCGACCAGTCCAGTCTTTGAGATACTTCCGGGTCACGACAGTTTTATTGGCATCTAGCGAGACCCAAAAAGGGGTCGTGATGGTTCAGCTTTTATTCTGAAAGGAACCGCTGCAGCAGCTGGAACAGCAACAGATTTTATCCAGCTTGCCGTTGGTTCTTTCGGCTGAAGAGGAAAGTTACGGATTGGCCACTCCGACAACTTCTCTAGAACACTTTGAACTGGCATTAAAGATGGCGTGGGCATAGTTTTATACTTCGGATGTTTTGGTTTATGGTCGAATGAAAAGATGTCAGATTTACCAAGCACCACCAAAACCACGCCTCCGTCAGATCTGGAAGATTCTGATTGGATCAGTAAAGCAATGTGTCATGTCTTAACGCTACGTGAGATCAGTCCTAGTGGCAACATTTAAAGTTATGTTACTTATTATATTCTGTAGGATTATAATAAAGTCATTAATATTTTGATTTCACAAATTGGTTCACATTTTATTATTGACTAACACTTTGTTTGATTAGCTTATTAAAAATAGAGTTCTTTGATTTATTAAAAAGAGAGAGTCCTTGGTCTTCATTCTTCTCTTGGGCGGCAAAGGAAAACAGTTTAGAAGCAAATTTATGAGATCTTGAGCAATATCTCATGTAGATTAGATCTTGCTGGGTGGGTTGGGGGGTGGGGGTGGGGGGGACTTTTAGATGGAAAACAGTCATTTCGTTCCGTTACACAGTTGATCTGTTAAAACCGTGCCTGGTCTCTCTTCCTTGTGTGTTTCTGGGAGGATACGTGAGATAATTCTTCATGATTTCTTAACAGACTGGATCAGCAGATGTCAGAGGTCCACAGTTATCCGTCTGCACCACAGCACCAAACCCACGTGGAATCTTTATTTGTGGTCTGTATAATATCAACTACTTCTTACATTGTTGTGTTTACAGTCACCTCCAGGCTTCACTCTGTGGTCCAGTGGGTTGTCATGGTGATAAGTCATTCTATTTATTATTCTTCTCCAGATGCTGGAGGACAACATTGTTACTTTTGTAAAGAATGAACTGAAGATGATCCAGAAGGTTCTTAGTCCAGATGACCCAGTTTCCTCAGAGAGTGAGACGGTTCATGAGAAGATGATGGAGTGTGAGGATGAAGACCAGCTGAGCGCTAGAGAAGCATTTCTGAAGGTCATGCAGCACTTTCTCAGGAGGATGAAGCAGGACAAGATGGCTGAACATCTTCAGAGCAGTAAGATTTCACTCAAGCTTCGTACTTATCCATCCACCCACCCGTCCTTCCAGGATTGTATACTAGGGTTGGGTGCTAAAAAAAAAATCATATTGATAATTAATGAAATATATTTAAAAAAAACATAGAAAACATAGACACAGAGTTAAATTCAATATTTTATTTAAACATCTTTAAACAAATTTTTTAAACGTCTTTTACTAGGATTGAACCATTTCAGGGAAAGTTTGAATTTCGTTCATTTTTGTACCAGAAATTGAGATTTCAGTTCAATACAGCTCCGGACCCCACGTGGCTCTCAGTTAGTAGACGCCATATTGGCAGTCAAGAAAGGTAAACAAACACGGATCTTAAACATGAACGTGAACGGGATCGGCTTGGATTTTACTTCGTCTGAGTTAACTTCACACTTTAAAACTGAAGAAATCGTTTTATATAGTCAGAAATTAAATAGACTAAACATCTCCGACCCTTACCGTGCCCCTGGGATACTTTTTAAAAACGCCAGAAGCTGTCGGAGCGGACTTCTTACCGGACCTGGCCAGGGAATCCCTTGGGATTTCCCCGGAGCTACTGCCCCCGTAACCTGACTCCGGATAAGCGGATGAAAATGGATGGATGGATGGATGGATGGACAAATAACAGATTTACATGTAAGAAGTTTAAATAGAGTGCTGTGCTGTTTGAATGTATAAACTGAACGCCAAGAGAAATCACTAGTCTGATTGTTTTCCATGAATAAAATAAATATGTCAGGCAGGAGCGTCTCAGGATCTGTCTGAGATCTGTCTCGGTGAGACAGATAATAGCAATCCAAAGTGCTTTTTATGTGTGATCTGACAACTGATCAACCATTGCTTCAAAATTAAATACAGCTTAGCCGGTTAATTGCTGTGATCATAAAACACGTAAACGGCAGCACGCAGAACTCACGAGGCAACGTTTTACGTGACGTTTACTTGTTGCTATGAGTAATAAGACAGAAAAAGCCATGCCAAAATAAGTTTAGGAAGCCCACTAAGAATCGTAATAAAAGCATTTTAAATAAATACCATACACAGTTGAGGAAACGTTGGTTTAAGTACCTGATATGAAGCGGTCGCTGCATAAGCGAAAACCTTTACTCTCGGGGTCCCACAGCTTCATTTTAGCCCGGTCACTAGCGCGCTTTATTACAACGATCCAACATTTGCGGCGCTCCGGATCTTGGGGAATCCTGTAGATGGCTCATTCCTTATGTCGTCCGCGTCTGTTCTGCATCCTGGGGCACAACAGGAATCTACCATATTTCCCGTTTGATTGAGTTTTCTGACAATAACAAATAGTCCAGCTGCCGGCTTCTGCATGCCAATATGGTGCCGTTTCGATTTGAACTGTTGCATGCCGGGAGAAGTGACGTCAACTCCCGGAGCTCTATTCACGATTTTCTTCTAATCAAGGTTCAGCTGCAGCAGATTAGTCACCATATACAGTTACATGTACAGACATGACAGGAAATGATTTCATACTACCCTGTTTTCCCTTTTCTGTCGCGCTGTTTATTATTTTCCTCTTTTACAGATTTGTCCCCTCTAATATTTACAGGTCCCTTTACGCTAATGTCATAATTGCTCCTGGCATTCCGCGCACGCACCCCCTCCACCCCATCTCACGGCGATCAAAGGAGCGCTGTCTCTGTGTGTGTGTGTGTGTGTGTGGTGGGGGGGGGGGGCATACTCATTTTACCAAAGTAGTAGTAGTACAAAAAGTCTTTGTTTTAAATTAAATAAAATACAGAAAAATTAAACAATGTTAAATATGTAATAAACAGGCAAAAAATTCCCAAAAAGGAAAAAAGGGTCTTGCCCAACAGAACTGCACCTTTCCTGATGTTTTCTTTGATGTTTACATCGAAAAACGACGTCACTTTCAGAAGTGAAAATCAAAGCTTTTATGACTCATGTCACCCCGTCTTCTTTACTCAACTCAGCTGGAATGTTTACTTTGTACCTGCAGACGTCTCTTGTCATGATTTGGCGCTGTATAAATAAACAGAGCCATGTACCCTCCAGGTTTCTTACTTTAACACCCACCCATCCTTCTGTCTGTCTGTCCGTCCATCCAGAGCTGCTTCTCCTCACCAGTAATGATTCATGCACGTGATCAGAAAACATCCACCTTTTAAATGGTTCTTTACTACGTTGTTTTTGTTTTTTAGGGTGTCGTTTTTCCTGGCGGTATACACTCAAGTCTACACTGAAGGAGAAATACCAGTGTGTACCTGAAGGTGTTTCTAAAGCAAGAAGTCCTCTTAATGAGATCTACACCGAGCTCTACATCATAGAGGGGAGGACTGGAATAGTCAGTGGTGATCATGAGGTCAGACAGATTGAGACAGCATCCAGGAAGCAATACAGACCAGAAACAACGATCAGACATGAAGACATCTTTAAACTCCCGCCTGGAAGAGAAGAACCATTCAGAACAGTGATGACAATTGGAGTGGCAGGCATCGGGAAGACAGTGTTAACACAGAAGTTCGCTCTGGACTGGGCCGAGGGCAAAGCCAACCAGAACGTCCACTTGTTGTTTCCGTTCACCTTCAGAGAGCTGAATATGCTGAAGGTGAAGAGGTTCAGCTTGGTGGAGCTTGTCCGTCACTTCTTCTCTAAAAGCAAAATGGCAGGAATCAGCAGCTTTGAAGAACTCCAGGTTGTGTTCATCTTTGATGGTCTGGACGAGTGCCGACTTCCTCTGGACTTCCACAACAAGGAGGTCCTGACTGATGTTACAGAGTCCACCACAGTGGATGTTCTGCTGACAAACCTCATCAGGGGGAACCTGCTCCCCTCTGCTCGCCTCTGGATAACCACAAGACCTGCAGCAGCCAATCAGATCCCTTCTGAGTATGTTGGCATGGTGACAGAGGTCAGAGGGTTCACTGACCCACAGAAGGAGGAGTACTTTAGGAAAAGATTCAGTGATGAGGAGCAGGCCAGCAAGATCACCTCCCATATCAAGGGAGCCCAAAGCCTCCACGTCATGTGTCGTATCCCAGTCTTCTGCTGGATCGCCGCTACCGTCCTAGAGGACATACTGAAAACCAGAGAGGGAGAAGAGCTGCCCAAGACTCTCACTGAGATGTATATTCACTACCTGGTGGTTCAGACCAAAGTCAAGAAGATCAAGTACGATGGAGGAGCTGAGGCAGATCCACACTGGAGTCCAGAGAACAGGAAGATTATCGAGTCTCTGGGGAAACTGGCCTTTGATCAGCTGTTGAAAGGAAACCTGATTTTCTATGAATCAGACCTGTCGGAGTGTGGCGTCGATATCAGGAAAGTGCTGGTTAACTCAGGAGTGTTCACGCAGATCTTTAAAGAGGAGCGAGGACTGTACCAGGACATGGTGTTCTGCTTCGTCCATCTGAGTGTTCAGGAGTTTCTGGCGGCTCTTCATGTCCACATGACTTTCATCAATTCTGGCATCAATCTCTTGGAAGCTGAAAGTTTTTGGCTGTTAAAATATTTCAGCATATTCTGCAGAGTAAAGCCTTTTCATCAGAGTGCTGTAGACAAGGCCTTAGAGAGTCCAAATGGACACCTGGACTTGTTCCTCCGGTTCCTCCTGGGTCTCTCACTGCAGACCAGTCAGACTGTTCTACGAGGCCTGCTGACACAATCAGGAAGTGGCTCACAGACCAATCAGGAAACAGTCCGGTACATCAAGGAGAAGATCAGTGAGAATACGTGTCCAGAGAAAAGCATCAACCTGTTCCACTGTCTGAATGAACTGAAGGATGCTTCTCTAGTGGAGGAGATACAACGATCTCTGAGTTCAGGAAGCCTCTCTACAGATGAACTGTCTCCTGCTCAGTGGTCAGCTCTGGTCTTCATCTTACTGTCATCAGGAAAAGATCTGGATGTGTTTGACCTGAAGAAGTACTCTGCTTCAGAGGAGGTTCTTCTGAGGCTTCTGCCGGTGGTCAAAGCCTCCAACAGAGCTCTGTAAGTATACTCCGCGGCTCCGCCATAAAAAGTAAACAAATGAACGGCACATTAAATATCAAAGCAGTGTAGATAACTCTGCTCTCCTGTGCACCCAAATTTTGTTCAGGCTGAGTGGCTGTAACCTGTCTGAGCGAGGCTGTGAAGCTCTGTCCTCAGTTCTCTTCTCCCAGTCCTCTAATCTGAGAGAACTGGACCTGAGCAACAACGACCTGGGAGATTCGGGCGTAAAGCTCCTTTCAGTTGGACTGGAAAGTCACCACTGTAAACTGGAAAGTCTAAGGTTAGAATGTGTTTATTTATTTTTAACAAAGCCATTTCATACAATTTTAGATTTTGTTTTTTTTAGCTCAAAGTTATTTCCTACAGATGACTGCTGATGTGTTTGAAATGAGTTTTCAGTTTAGTGTCTTCATGGAGATGAACAACATATTTTATGTTACTGCACTAAACCCAATGTTTGAATTGTCAGTCACACACTGACTGACTGACTGAGGAACGTAGCAGAGGGCAACATTTTCATTTCTAGCCCCTCACAAACTGATGCTTTAGTTCATGATGTTACTTCATGAAGGTGATGTGGTGTCTGAGCTAGGGTTGCTGTTAAAAACAGTCAGATATAATAACAGTGCTTTAAAATGATTGTTTATTAAATAAAAGCAACAACAATCTGTACTCTCAGCACGCTGTCATCTTATATTAACTGAGCAGGGAGTGAGGTGGTGGGGGCTCCAAGCCTATATTTGCCTTGGTCCCCAAATGCTTGGATACGGCCCTGGATGTGGGACTGACTTCTGGGGTGATCTGATTCTATCACATGTATAAATATTAAATGTTTATATATTATTGCTTTTCACTGGTAAAAATGTGTTTTGGGGATAAATCTACCTACTTTTTGTCTTTTCAAGCTCTTTGTTTTGTTTTCTTGATTTTATTTGAATAATTTCCCGCCCTTTCTCTCTCTAACCTTCCTGCATGCTGCATGTTTTCTCCGTATTCCAGAAAAATTGTTTCCTAGATTTCCTACTTTCTAACTATCAGCCAAAGGGATCTTCACATGCGCGGCGCTCCAGCAGCAATGAGTTGAAATCACCGGAGCCCAGATTAACTCAGATGAGGCAAAGCACGTCAGAAAAGTACAGAATACCAGAGAACATGCGCTGATATGAACGATCGCAGGTGAATTATTTTGTTTAATGGAGCGATTTTGTGAATGCTACAGCGGCCGCGTGGAGGATGCCGCTGGAGTAGTTGAGCCGGTACCGCTGTGTCCTCTCTGCCCGCAAAGCGGAGTCCATAAATGACGTCATATATGCAGATACTGGATCTTTTTTCAGGTTTCCCGCAATTTGAATTTTTAAGAAACGCATCTTGATTCTGGGTTTAAAATGCATTGTAATTACTGCGTTACTGACAATTGTACCGAGTAAATATTACCATTTTCTTTCCCTGTAATGCCTTACATTACCACATTACAACAAAAAGCAATGCATTACAGTAATTAATTACTTCTGTACCGCATTACTCCCAACACTGGTCCTCTTGCTGCAGCCAGGATTCTGTGAGAGAGCAAAGAGATCTGATTATCACAAATCAACTCATTAACTAACAAAGTCTTAGAAAAAATGGATCTAATGTTCAACAACCCACATTTAATGTTTCTAGTTTTCTGCTCAGTTAAATTTGTTCTAATATTTATGAGATTTCCATGATTTGCTTTATTAAGCCTGATATTTAATCTGTGTGCTTTTGGCCGTGGGCAGGACACTGTCTCTATGGGGTAGTGGGTGGGTAACAGTACAGAAGCTGCAGAGGGGTGGGTTAAACTACGACTCTGCTTCCTGGTCTGGACCCTGGGTAGTCATGGAGGACTAATAAAACTGGCCATGTTCCCAGAAAGAAGAGCTGCTCCATCCAAAGAGGGATGGATGCCGTCTCTCCGCATCAGACCAGGTTTTCCCAGAAAAGTTTTCCAATTATCAATGTAGCCCACGTTGTTTTCAGGACACCACCTAGACAACCAGCGGTTGGCTCTTCTTCTCCAGACTGTTGAGCTGATTTAGCCATTTTTTTTTTCAAAACTGCTTTTACTTTTGGGTTAGTTGCTATCGTAGAGAAATGTTCACTTTCCTAACTCTCAGTGTCAAGTGTTTCTTTTTTCTGTGAGGCGTCTACACTTGAAAAGACCAGACTTTGGCTTCACTCAGATATGTCTTTATTTGACCAGTTTCAGGATCATCAGTATCAGCATCAGGTGAAAACCTTTAAATACAAAAATAGAACTGTTTAAAGGTCACACACAGAAAAAACACAGTGCGTTTTAAAGGTAACACAAACTTAAAAGCATTCCAACCAACATCTGTAATTTAAATAGAAGGTGAGTACTTCAGTTCTAAGTAAAAGTATACTTCAAGGTTAAGCATATTCTAGTCTTTAAATTAAACAAGAAACTTTTATTTTCTCAGATTTTACTACCTTATACATTTTTACTTTCACAGTTACTTTTTCAGTATTTAACCTGTTTTTAAACATTTTAATTAAGGTTTTAACTAAGGATTGTTACAAATAATCTTATTTACATTTTAACTCTTTACTATCCAAAATCCACAGCTTTAAACTTCCCGTCGACAACTTCTTAGTTTCCCCCTCCCCTCAGGTCAAGAGTCTGGGTGTCATCCTCGACTCCTCACTATCCTTCCAGTCCCACATAAACAACATTACCCGGTCTGCCTACTTCCATCTACGTAACATTAACCGCCTACGCCCCTCCCTCACTACTCACTCGGTCGCCATCCTTGTCCACAGCCTCATCACTTCCCGTATTGACTACTGCAACGCTCTTCTCTTCGTTCTTCCTCACAAAACCCTCCGTAAACTCCAACTTCTCCAGAAATCGGCAGCCCGCATCATTTCCAGAACTCCCTCCTTCCACCACATCACCCCTGTTCTTCAGCAGCTCCACTGGCTCCCAGTCACTTCCGGAATCCAATTCAAAATTCTGCTATATACATTCAAAGCCATCCATAACCTAGCTCCACCGTACCTCTCAGACCTCCTTCATCCTTCAACCTCCACCCGTTCCCTCAGGTCCTCCTCCTCCCTCCACCTCTCTATCCCACCTTTCCGTCTGGTCACTCTGGGGAGCAGGGCCTTCAGCCGCTCTGCTCCCCAGCTCTGGAACTCACTCCCTCCTGACCTCCGTAACATTGATTCCCTCACTCTCTTTAACGCCAGACTCAAAACCCACCTGTTCCGTCTAGCATTCCAATAATTACTCTCTTTGCTCCAATCTGTCTGTTTGTTTTATGCTGTTTTATCTTTTATTGTGTATTTTATCTCTGTAAAGTGTCCTTGAGTGTTCAGAAAGGCGCTGTTGAAATAAAATGTATTATTATTATTATTAAATTCACTAATTTCAGGATGTAAACAAAGAATCTTGGGTTACCATTTTTAAATATTAAATTTCCATAAATTGGGATGGAAACCCATATTTTTCTGATAAACTTGAGCTGTTCATCACAGCAAGAAACTTAACGTTAACATGAATTCTGCAGTGGATTCAGACAGAACACAGCCCTGGAACTTTCTCCTAACAGGTCTACCATCCAGATGCGTTTACAGTGGTTAATCTGTTATCTCCTTATCTAACAATATTCTATCACATTAAGCATATTTACAGAGGGTAGGTGGACAGTTAGTGAAGCTGCACTAAAGCAGCAATAAGGTGTAAAATTAGACCAGAAGTTTGCATCTTTTCTCTCTGCGTTGGTTGGTTTATGGTTGGATAGAGACAACATCTGTCGTCATGTGGTGACATGGTATATAGAGTTGAACATTTATATTTCTCACCGGGTTAGAGCAGTCGATAATGATTTTGCCTTTGTTGTAGCTTGTCTGGATGTCTGATCACAGAAGGTGGCTGTGCATCTCTGACCTCAGCTCTGAGCTCCAGCCTGTCCCGTTTGAGAAAGCTGGACCTGAGCTACAACCATCCAGGAGACGCTGGCCTGATGTTGGTGACAGCTGGCCTGGAGAGACTGGAAGCTCTCCGGTAAGACCTACAGGGTTTCTAACGAGAGAGGGGGAACTGGTCAGAACTATCACATGTACGGACACTGATGGTCTTATCACCCCACTTCCAGGGTGGAGCCTGCTGGTGTCCAGTGGCTGACACCTGGCCTGAGGAAGTGTGAGTAGGATTTTATTTGATTTACTTCTTTATCTTTAGAGCAGCGCTGAATCTGGCCTTAAAGGCTGCTTTTCATTTATAGTTTTTGTACAGCTCTGTCTTTATCTTGAACAACTAGAATTACCAGAATTATCTTTGTATCGATACACTTGCATAGATGGAAATGATTAACTTGAGTAGTGACTTAAGCTAATGCTACCAATAAAAGCAACAATCTAACTCTCCAGACATGAGCCCCCACTAGAAGTGCTCCCATGTCTGTTCTTTTCTACACACACAGTAAAGCCTGGTTTATGCTTCTCCGTCAGCTCCGCAGGGGACAGACACGGATTGAGGGAAGCGTTTTGCTCTCATACTTCTCCGTCTCCTGGAGAGTGTTGCAAAGCAATTGCCCGGCAGGACAGCAGAGGGCGTAGTGCTGTTCTGTGGTATCCTGTCATGTATCGGTCCAAGATCGTGTGTTTATATTGTGTTTTTTGTGTATATAAGAGACTTTTTAACACCGACATGTTTGTCTCTCATTCTCCCACCTCTTCATGCGCTCCCCACCTCTAAACCCACGTTTCCTGTCATTTCCGTCCACAAATAAAACGCTTGCTGCGCATCTTTTCACTCCTCCAGTCACGGGAGGATGAAACGTTCATATTTTTAGAGTTTTTTCGCGAGGTATTCTTCAAGCTTCTCCGTGTCTGCCGCTAGTTATCCTCGGCTCTCTTTGCAATGGCGGCGCTGTAAACAACAGCGGCGTCCTGACCAATCACAAGCTTGCGTAATCCGTCTCGTTCGACGGATGTTTGAAAAAGTGGGCTCGACTCCGTATGTACTTGCGTGCCTGCCGGATCCCTACGCAAGGACGGATAATGGCGTTGTGTGTCTCCGCACTGACGCAGACGGAGAAGCATAAATTAGGCTTAATAGAGCTTGTTTTTACCTTCTTGCTGACAGTTTCAGCTACTGCTGTCACCTTCGTCAGAGTATCACCGATGTTGGTGGCATCACTTCCGTCATCCCTCCCAGATATCCAAGCTTCTCATCTTATAGCAGCCAATCAGGGAGTGGGTGGGTGTGGCAAGCAACAGTTTATTTACATGAAGTGACAGGGCTGTGAAACAGCTCATTCTGGAAGGTACTGAAACTGTGAGGAATAAAATAGCTGAGATCACTCGGTGTGAGAGGGGATTTAGTAAAAGACCTTGGTGAACATGTGTCGTATCACCTGTTGAACTGTTACATCAGACATGAGCATCCAGGTAACTCAGCTGTTTGTTCTTTCCTTCAGATTCCTGTCAGCTCACTATCGACACAAACACCGTGAACAGACACCTGAAACTGTCTAACAACAACAGGAAGGTGACGCACGTGGACCAGCTTCAACCCTATCCAGATCATCCAGACAGGTTTGAAGGCTACTGCCCTCAGCTGATGTGTAGAGACACTGTGACTGGCCGTTGTTTCTGGGAGGTGGAGTGGGAGGGCGAGGTTGACGTATCCGTCAGCTACAGGCGCATCCAGAGGACAGGAGAACGGGCCATCTGCGAGTTTGGAAGGAACATGGACTCTTGGTGTCTGAGCTGCTCTGGTCGTGGTCATTACACTGCCTGGTACAATGAAAAGGGGGTCTCCATCCGCTCCTCCACCTCCATCTCTAACAGGGTAGCGGTGTATGTGGACTGTCTTGCTGGAACTCTAAGCTTCTACAGAGTCATCTCAGACTCACTGATCCACCTCTACACCTTCAGCACCACGTTCTCTGAACCTCTATATGCTGGATTCTCCCTTGGGTTCTGGAACAGAACCGGTTCTACGGTGTGTTTAGTGTAAAGAGCTTCTAGATACAGGAACTCATGTTTACATCAGTGTTACTTTTGTTGATGAAATATTTTAGTTGGGGTTTTTTTTC